GTAACAGAATTGTAAAGTAACAGAATTGACAATTGTCTGATGGACTGTCAGTTCTGTTACAGCATTGTTACTCTACCTTGGTAACAGAGTTTGACAGTAACAGAATTGACAATTTACTTTACAGTTCTGTTACTTAAATGGTCAACTCGGTTTATGAACTATTTCCCCCCCAAAAAACAATACATTTGTTGTTTAAAATCTTATTAAACATGATTGATTATTGATAACTGGATATTGTATATACGTAATACATTTCCAGATGAAAAATATTTACTCCAAGTGGACGGTTCTGTGAAGACATAGGTATTTTTTTTATTTTAAAGGTATGCATAGGTGAAGTATTATCTCAGTTTCAAGTGATGGAATATAAGGACTGTTTGTCTAATGAAACAAGAAGGATTCTTCCAGTTATGATTTATTGTTATTTCTACACATTGGCTAATTTGTCCGTAACAGAGTTGACAAACAATACCATAAAGACATCTGTTTTTTTCATTAAAAGTAAAAAAAGAAAGTAACTTGTGTTTGGCAAGCACTGAATTATTAAAATTAAATATGTTTTCAATAAGATACTGAAAAAAATCTGTATTTTTTCTTAACTTTCTGCAATGCCAAATGTATCTCCAATTATAGAATCACCCATAGGTATGCTTGGGCTGTTACAAATGTAAAAAAAAAAAAAAAATCATTTATATATTATAGAGGTTATAGAGGTAGTTTGAGGTGAGGATAAATCAAACGTGATTTGCGATGATGTCATAGTTGTGCTGCATTGTGGTCTGTAGAGCGGCCTGAAGTGTGCATATGAAGCAGACTCACTCCCTCGAGGGGTTGAGGGTCTGTCTGTATAAACTTCCCTCATCCACTTCACGAAGTGGAACGCACTTCAAAATGGCTTAGGGAAGTGCTTAGGGAAGTTTGCGAGTGCATATCTAAAAGTGGAGTGGAACGCAGCCTAGATATACTAGAAACTTCCAGGCTGGTGTGTTGAGGCAAGTTGGAGCTAAACTCTGCAGGACAGTGGCCCTCCAGTACCGAATTTGGTGACCCCTGCTTTACATATTTATAGATATGATAATAAGCAATCATTAACCTTTAAAAAGACACACTGCTGTCAATTAAATGCCTCAATATGCCAGGATATGTACAGGAATTTTGAGGTAATGTTCAGTCAGTATTTTGATAATATACATAAGTAGCAATTTATTCAAATAGCTCAGTTATGCTGGAAATTGATTGGCTTTTGCAGCTGTCAGTTATCTGATGCTAACTGATTGCACAGACACTATTGGAAGAGAGCTGAACTGGATGATGCCATCACTGAATCATCAATGAACTGACTTTAGCTGGAAAACGACTCTGTTATTGTCTTCTTGCATCATTGACAAACCATTTTCCTTTTTGACTCTGTAAAGCTACTTTGACACAACCAGTATTGTATAAAGCGCTATACAAATACAGGTGACTTGACTTGACTAATTATGCAAATAACTTGGCCAATCAGAATCAAGCATTCCAGACAGCCATCAAATAATGTTAAAGGTGAATAAGTAAAATCCAACAAATTGTTGGCAAACTGCTTTTCCACACAATCCCTCCATTTGCCATTGGTAAAAAAAAATAGATAGTCCCGCCCCAAGCTTATGCTATTGGCCAGGATGCTCAAATAAACAGAGCAATGTTTTGATAGCAACCACAAATAGTCTTTACATTGTTTGTCATATTCAGAAAAAAATTATCTATAAATAAAAAAAATTATCTGACCACTTCTGTTTTTTTTTCCAGATCTAAGTAAGAACAAATGTGACAGGCTATCTTCCCGGCTACATCGACATCAACAATTTAAAATTTTTACCCAGCTGATTTCTCACTGGAATGCAATAAATCTCAGTTTGAGAGCTACAGGTATAGATCATCTTCATCTTGGAGGTCAGGGTGAAGGTCTCTGAAGGTTTAATGCTCTTGCTCGTATTGACAGGGTATCCAATTATTAATTGGACAGACCTGCACACTGTAATTTTATTTGACAGTCTTGTGCCCTTTTTTAAACCCCGTCCAAAGAGTCAATGTACTGCAAGCGACAAAGACCTTCTGAACAGTGTCATCTGGATAACACTCCCAGATGTTCTGACTATTCAGTGTCTTAATTGTTTTTGCTCCATATCGCAGTTTCCATTGTGACAATTACCCAACAGTCAGTCTAATCCTTTTGGAAACCAATCAAAAATAATGCCAATGATGTCAGTTGTCATCAAACCAAGAGCCAAGAAAGATACTGAATGGCTGAAAGGAAACACTCTATCGCTGTTATGGTCAACGTTTTGAGGATAAACTTCAAAATGGGTAAACTAGCTTCCTTGCTGCTAAATTGGTATTTGAATATATTTGGACAACAAAACACGTTGAATTGGAATTGGAAAAAATATGGACAATATGGAAAAATATTGACATCAACATTTTTAATTACACATAAAATAATGAGCTATAAACAATTGTCACCAATCTACTAATAACAGATGTCACCCTGTATGTGGTAAGTTGCCATCAAATAGCCTATTATTCCAAAAACAGACACACAAAAGAATTTGTGAAACGGCACAAATAGAAAAGTCATCATACTTGTCATAACTTGTTTTGGTCAATGGTTTCATCTAAGTGCTGATAATGCAATTTAGAATTTATAGACCTATATACATTAATTTCCATATTAAATTCAAAAACTGCAACACTTTTCAGATTTGTGCACCTTATTTATTTGTGTGTGTGGCATCACTGATTATCTAATGTTGTGTGAATCATGTCACGGCATGTTTATGAGCATAAAATACTGAAAACAAATGTAGCTATCATTAAAAATAGCATTTGCAGAAGTCATTCCATTCAGTAGATTTGCATTCAAATTATAATTCCGCATTCTGTTTGCAGTTGATTGAATCGGAATGTATAAGGCATTCTCAAGTCAGTTATGAATGACGCACATGCAGCCCAGCTGGAAATGGCAGTCTAGTTCAATCACGCGCTGCTTGTGCTGTTGTGTGGTTCATCATGTGATTTATGGGCATGATGATGGCGTTCTCATTTGAGCACAAAAACGGTTGGAAGTCTGTTAAGCTAACAAAACAGGACCGGCACTCAGGCCAAATTCGTGACAATAAACTGACACCAAGCATTCACTATTAAAAACATTCAAGACTATGCTTCGGTGGTGTTTTCAAATGTTTCAGTAAACACAAATGTTAGTAAAAGCGCATGCAACAACCTAATAGACGCCAGCATATGTCCCATTCACACTGAGCAACCAGGGGCGGACTTACCCATTAGGCAAAGGTAGGCGACCGCCTTGGGCCCCCAAAAGCCAAGGGCCCCCTAAAATGCTTTTCATAAAGGAGATGCACATTAAGGGCTGACACGTGAACGGTTGCTGTTTACGGTGTTTATTACCACGACAACCGTCCGAGTTGCACGTGCTTCTTGTGTATTCTGCTTGAAAGAGATGAAAATAGCATGCATCTGAAGCTGTCATATCCAATATTGAGAAACAGTGTGCATTATATGTTTATAATTGTTTTAAATGCCGCTTACTCATTTATAAGAAGGAACCAAGTAGAGGACACATATGCAGTTACTTTTTTGGTTGCTATAATCCTTAGGTGTGTAAATGTATAATTGCCTTTTCATTATTTTTTTCAGTTTTATTTTAATTTGTAGTTAAAATAACTAAAAATAAATGTATTTTAAAGTTTAGAATTAGACAGCCTTTGCACACAGGCTTACGATGGTAACTCATCAGTGGACTTTCCTCGTCAATATAGAGTATATTTTTCTCACTAATTCAAGGTTTTATACCTTGAACCAACTGTCTTCAGAAAAGTTTTGATGGCATTTTCATTTTATCTGATAAAGTAGCGCTTATGAGAGGAGCGCTGCTTTGTTTACAGCCGTTACCGGGGAAGCCGCTATATTTCTGACGTTCCAAAAGCGCCTCCTGCTGGCAGAGAATCAATGTTCATTTTCAACAATCCAGTCTGTAGTTTTTGTTCAGACCAATGCGAAAATCCACCCACATAACCCAGTTTTACATTAGTATCCTAACTTATACTTCCGACTCACCCCTGGTTTAAATGCTCAATTGTGAGGTTTATCATTTTATAATTGATTTTGTTTTTGTGAAAACCTGTATCTCAACTGTAAATCAGTTGCTATTTTGTTGTCTAGAACATGAAAGAAAGCCATTATAACGTACATGAAAAATGTATAAACATTGGACACAACTGTGGGGCACCATTGTGCAGCAGCAAGCATCACAACAGAAAAGGAACCTCATGGTTGATCTAGGAAAATGTCTGCAAATGTATAGGGCCCCATTCCTATATTTTGCCTGGGGCCCCCAATTCACTAAATCCGCCCCTGTGAGCAACCTTACGCTTTCAGTGCCACTGCGATCAGTTTTAGACTGGGACTGCCAGTGTGTGTGACTTTATTTTCAGATTTACATTGCAAATACACCATACAAAGTTTTGTTTAAAATGATACCGTCCTAGTGGCACCAAATGACAAATGGCACGACGCACGAACAGACTGCGTCCCCCACAAAGCAATAGCGTAAACATTTCCTATTTCTATAACAAATACTGTTGAAAGATGGTTAACTCTTTATTCTCATTCCTAATTATATAAAGTTGTCCTACCCGATTCCCTTATGCGTAAAGTTATAGTAAATGCGGGTGCGGCGCGCTAATAGCATGGAGGGGACGTGTGTTGACGGCGCGTACCCTTGTTTAACCCCCATACATTTGAATCACAAAACATGCATAGTCCTCTAAACACACTGTATGGCTGAATGAGGCTGCTGGAGCGTTTGGTTTATCAAAGGCGATACGTCATTGCGAGCTGCAGCGATTGGCTGGATTCTGCTCCTTTTTCTCCACAATTCGCAACCACGACCGGTCTTCGCCTCCGGAGCAGCGGCATCCCACAGTTGAGGCAGGTAAACTACCGGTTTTAATGTAGATCTTCGCATGTTCGTTTGATTGATGGAGCTAGCTATTTCTTTCTCCTGTTTATGGGCTACTTTACGGGTTTCTTCAGACAGTAATTGATGAGCAGCCCTGCTGCTGGCTGATCTGAAGGAATGCCGCAGTTGAGAAATGAATGCTGAAGCAAATGAATGCTTTTTTTGTAATGGGAAAAGACTAGCTTGGGGGGGGGGCTGAGAGAGTATAACGCGGCATTGTTTGCGCACATACGCCGTAAAGTTGGCATTAGATCGCTTTTGTTCTTAAACAGATCATGTGTGTATGCGTCAAAGGTGTGGATTCGAAAGTGTTTTAAAGGACGGTTTCTAACGTGAATAGAAATGCAATTGATCTCACTGCGCACATGCTCTTTTCTAACGCTGGATTCCTCATTGGATCTATTTTAGGTGGACTTATTTCCCTCAAGAGAAATGAATGCAATATAGCGCGCGCATTCGCAGGGCTGGACATTTCTATTCGCTTTCGTCTCCTCAATTCTTCCCTGCAATACAGACACTGCCCGAACCGGACTAAATGAGTGCCCGGACCTTGGAGAGACTGGCGCTTTCCATTCCCCACTGTGCCTTAAACGGAACCGCTCGGACCAGCAATGGGACCTGCTTTGACCGGGTGGATCAGCTGTTCCAGGCGTTCTCCTCCACCGTCGTGCTTTTCGTGCTCATCGCGATGATCTTTGGGATAATATTCGTGTCCGTCACGACCTTCCACTTTCACAAAAGCAAGATGAAAAAGCGCAAGATACAGAAAGCCCAGGAGGAATACGAGCGCGACAACTGCAGTCCCAAAACAGTCAAAGGCAAGCCGGTGGTCCGGCAGTGCGTCATGGTGAGACCCCCCACAGCAGCGCGTAAAAGTGATCCAAACGCGGAAGATCCTGGCGCGACAGAGGACGTGAGACACTCGGGACAGACCAAGGATGAGGACTTGTTGGAATCGGTCGCTGTGTCTTGATAACGCAGAGCCAGCCTTTGGAGGACGCTGTAAATAACCTCTGTATTCATATGATATCACCTACGGAATATGTCGATTCTTTGTATAAGCATTAGAGTTGATCAATTCTCATCGTAGATCCCGGAGGAGGCTTTGGAAGAAATCTAGGAACGGTGTTCAGTGCTTTTTGAGAAGGACTGAGGAAGACTAAGGAATGCTGATGGAATTTCTATCATAAATCGAACAAAGAGAGTATCGAGTAAGATCCTACTGGATCAAATGAAATGAGAAGGAATGAGTTAATCTAGCAGGATTTTGTTGAGTGCTAATTGATGGGATCAAATGAGAATTTCATAAAAATGAAATAATAATAATAAAAAAAGAAAATTCTTGGAGGGAAAAAATCTAATAATTAATTTAAAAGGATCTTACTGAATATTAATGGATATTTTTTTAATCAAAATTAGGAGTCAGTCAGAAACCCTTGATGAATCAAATAATCTCCTGAATTCTGGGAACATGACACTAATCAGTTAATTGAATACTTGTCATCTTATTAATGGGATCAAATGAAAATCTTCTAAAAATAAAATAAAAATTCATAAAATTCCTGGGGGGGGGGGGATAAATCAGTTAATTAATCTAAAAGTATATTACTAAATATGAATGGAATTTCTGTCATAACTCAGCTCCAATCCAATTGTGATTAAACAGGAGTCCTCTATGAACCAAATAAGATCATAACGTAGAATTAAAATTCTGAAGAAAAAAGACATTGATCATTCAATCCAATAATGGATTTCTATTATAATTCGAAACATAATTTGAAAAAGACAACAACAACAACAACTCAAATTCAGTAGGATTGTACTGAATCATAATTTGGAGCCAATCCAAACTGGATCAAAATGTGAATCGTTTAAGAATCAAAGAACACCCTTCTGGATGAACTGGACTGTTCTTTTTCTCAAGCCTCTTTTAGCTAATGCTTTTCAGAATTTCAGTAAATCCAGTAGGATTTCGTTTTATACCATTAGGATTGTCTACAAATTATGATAGACGTGCCATTAGCGTTTGGTGGACAAATTATGGACCTGCTGCCAATACTTCAGAGTTTATTACTCAGTGGTGAAGGAATAGTGAAGTTCCTCAAAGTTAAAGGGACGGTTCTCTTGTATAAAGTCTGTCCAGACGCTGTCCAGTGCTGAAATCAGGACAGAGACGACGGTCTTCTTCATGTGGAACTTCAACACAACTCGCAACAATTTCCTTGGGTTTCAGAAACTCTTAGGTGTTACTCTTTTAGGCAACATTGTTGTTTCTTTCGACAAATATTGGGATTTTCCTTCATCTCAGTGGCTTTTTCAAGATAGAAGTGCAATTCGTGCCATTCTGGCTTGGCATGAATAGGTTTAGTGTTTTAACCCCTTTATCCCAGAGATTGTTAATGTGCAATTGCAGCCGCTAGTGGTAGTATAGCCTATACTTGTTTTGTTCATGGCACTGTATAATCATAGTAAAACTTATGTAACCTGAGGCGTTTCGGTTTTGTGTTACAGCTCTGTATTAATGCTCACTTTTTGCATTTTTGCTCTTGATTAATATAACACTAATGATCGAGTATTATATTTTTTATCATTCTAAACTAGTGTAACAATCAATAAGAAATAAGAGAACATTTTAAAAGTCATTTTATGTATTTCCTTGACGTTGTGTTGAACCGGAAATGGAAGTTATAGACCGAAATCACGTATTGTAACAGATCGCAGTTTGAACTTTTGTTTTTATTTTGTTCAGTGCATACGATTTTGAATTACTAATAAAGTATTGTGCAAATTGGTGTGTCGTTATTTGAATTCAAATGCACTCTCGATTGAAAACATCACCTGTGTGTTTAGGCTCTGCTGAAAAACAGCCTAAACCAGCCTAAAGTGGTTTGCTGGTCTTAGACTACCAAGCAGGTTTCTGCTGATCCAGGTTTCCCAAAAGCAACATAAGCATGCAGATAGAAACATTTGTATGAATTATCTTAGAAATATGGGCTGTTTCCAAAAAGCGTAATAACTTATGAAATAGTTGGAAATCACTGTAGCTCTATGAGTTTTCTCTGTGTGTTTACATTTATTAATATCTGTTTATTTTAAAACAATTAAATACAATACAGATATTACATGAATGCATAAAATGAATAAAATAAGATTTGTGTGGATGTTGTCTGGTACAAATAAATTTGTGCCATGATTGTTTCACAGAACTTTATAAATGAAATTCCGTGAAGGTGTTTTTAAGATCAAAATGTTCTAATGGCTTTGGACGCTGATGAAAAATCAGTCATATATCACATGTCTTGGCTCACCAAAACATCTTCCCATGACATCTTCATCCTCTCAACAAGCCCTTCGTCTTCTTCTTCTCGGTCATTGGACTCCTCTTGCCTCCATCCACAGGTGACTGTGAGAAAATTAAACATTACATCCTGCTATCAGATAAACATAGCCGTTATTCTGTAGAATATCAATCCACACAAAGTAATAACAAAATTATGATTGACTTTGGTCTGGTTTGATGGTTTTAGAGTGGTTTTGGGCACTTGTAAGCCATCCATCCATCTATCATCCATCCATCAATCCATCCATCCATCTATCATCCATCCATCAATCCATACATCCATCATCCATCAATCCATACATACATTCATCCATCCATCCATCTATCATCCATCCATCTATCCATCCATCCATCCATC